CATATGACCTCTTCCAAATCAGAGACCTGCACATATGCCTCTGACCAATGGAACCTAGGCCAGAGTTGGTACCCTAGCAGTGCGTGAGGATGAGGTATTCCCTCTCTCTCTCTCTCTCCACCCCTCCTCTTTCTCCCTCCCTCTGTACACACACACACACACACACACACACACACACCCCACACACAATTCTACCACAATGTTGAAAGCTCCCACATTGTAATGTTCACAAGATTATAGCCAGCCATTGATGACAGCTCTCCCCTCTACCTAATAAGATACTGAAATGTGAAGATTCTCAGTAAATACCAAAGTAAAATAACTTTTCAAGGAATTGTCAGTTACACAGTATTAAATTAGCTCAATTGCCCTCTTCTCAGAGCATTCTTGCTAGTTGGAGTTTGCCATATTGGAGGAAAAAGATAACTTTGAATAAGATTGATATCAAACTGTTTTTAGAAAACTGGCCATTTATTCACAGATCTTGGAATAGGCATCTCTTCTCTTTAGCACCTGAGAGGAGAGAATTTATTTCAGTTGTCACTGGTCCTTTATCATTGCTTTGAAAGTGTTATATTAGCAGAGACAGCTCATCTAGAGATGTGGTTTTATTAACCAAACTGTCTTGCAGAGTGAATGTGTTCTTGCATGTTAATTTTCAATAAATTGATGTGTAGGTCACAATGTATGAGATGTCAATTAATAATAAATTTGTTGTTAGTCAACTGCTGGGAAACCAAAACCAAAAAATAGTATTTGGAACTGAAAGGAGATTTAGAACTTTGCAGGTATTTCTGGCTTTGTCAGTTTTATGCCATAAAAGAAATATTAAAGTTAAAATCTTTGATGTAGAATCTTCAGCCAATAAATGTATATAAGAACTCTATTCTGAAATGCCCCCCAAAAGCCCCCATTCCCCTTTCTTTGTTTCTTTCCAGGGCCTCCCTCATTCTTCACTCAACACTCACCCATCTTCATCTGGCAAAGAGGATAAATACCATCACCCACTTCTGCTGCTTCCTTTTTCCATCATCTCATTTTTAGTCCTCAAGTAACCACCTCTTGGATTATAGTGATTTGTGAACCCTACTCACTATGGCACTGAAGTAGCTCACGGCTACCTGCAAAGCATTGGGATTTCAAAATACTTTATATGTTATGGAATCCCTCACTGGTAATATAATAAACTTGTATTTATTTAAGCCAACCCATAATTCCACCAAGGAAACCAGCTTTGTGTGATGCTAAAATGTTTAGGTCCCATGAGAGACTCAGGAAGTCTCTTCTGCCATCTGCCCAAGATCTACTCCCAGTTCCAGTTCTGAGCCTCTTGGGCTCTGTCTGTGCTCAGAACTCTCAGGGCTCAGGTCTTCCCTAGTAATCGCCATGAGTTCAACCCAGGCCTTAGAGACTCAATGACAGGTAATCAGGAAAATGAAGAAAGGGTAGGATATAGCTTGGTGGTAAACTGCATGCTTAGTATGCACAAGGTCCCGGGTTGAGTCCCCAGTACTTCCATTAAAAAAATAATAATTAAATAAATAAACCTAATTCCCTCCCCCCAAAAAAGAAAATGAAAACAAAAGATATGAAAAGGAGAGGTCTGAACATGAATGTAACATTTATGTGGGGAAGGACTTTTTAACATAAAAGCAGTAATAGAAATAAAAAGCAAAAATATATCTTTATTTGACAGCATGCAACTTAACTAGCTCTGTATATCAGAAAGATCACAAACAAAAGTGAAGGGCAAACTGGGAAAAATATTTTTCTATATTATAACTCACAGAGGATTGATATTCTTAATATCCAAAGTGCACAGACAAATTTATAGGAAAAAGTTTCAGAGCCCTGTAGAAGAATAACCAAAGGATTTGGATAGGTAATTCACAGAAAAGAAAATACAAATAGTATTTAAAATTTTCACACCCTCTAGTAATAAAAGAAGTGCATACTAACATACAAATACTTTCTCCCCTTGCTCAAATTAGTAAAGAATAAACAAGTCCAATTCTCAATGCTGTTGATGAAATGAGCAATTGTATGGTACTGGTGGGGAACAAGCAATGATGTGTCTTTTATTGGGGGTGGATGTTGAAGATTATTCATCCCAGAGTCATTTCTGAGGGGTCTCTAAGGTAAATCATAAAACTGAAAAGATAGGAAGCATTATTACAGTTACTAGATTTACTCACCTTATTCGACAAAAGAGAATGAAATAGAGTGGAGGATGAAATTTGGTTTTTTGAAAATGAGTATAAGAAAATTAACTTTTAGGCACAAATATCCATTATTTTCCAGTTAAAATAATAGACTATTTGCTCCCCTTCCCCCAAGTCCATTCTAACTGTATCGCTATCTTTTCCAACTTGAGGGTGAGTATCAATCCCCTCCTGCCATAAAAATAACGAGAGTTCTGCCTACTTCAGGTGAGCTATGTCTATTGTAAAAAAAAGCCCTAGACAAAGATAAAAGATAGTAGAACTTGATCACGTTGGAAAACTGGGCTCTTGGGAAAGAGGAGAATGTTTCTTGAGTTCTTCCTTCTTGCTCTCTTACTTCCTCTACAGTAAGGTTAGGTTTCACTACAGAAAAATCATCTAGAAAAGAGATACGCAGCAATATAGACACATAGAGGTATCCACTGTGTGCAGAGAAAGCCCAAAAATTGAGCAGTGCATTGAGAACATGTAAACACACTGCAGAGACTTTGGGGTGCATGTGCTGGCTGGCACCATCCCCAGTCCCACGCTGGATGGCCTCTGCTGGCTTCGTGTTCAGGCACCAAGAGGTATCAGTGGGTTAGCTCTTGCTAACAGAATTTTGTGCTCAGTGGGTTTGAAATCCAGAAAACTTGTACAGTGTGAGTTTTTGGTTTGTATTTCTCAATTTCGGTTTTAATTTTTCAATTAAAAAGAGGATGAATGATCAACCTAGTTTTTATTCACAAGAATATTTTCTTTTCAAGTACATGAACTGTGGCTCCAGCAATATCATGAAAGACAAAAAGTGTTCCTGCCATGTTTTCACACAACAGTATTCCCATGATGATCGTGCTCGTAAAGGCTAATTTGATGAAAAGACAATGTCACATGAATTTTCTTAAGTTGAAAGTTATATGTTTTCCATAACGTGCCCTGATTGGTGGTTCAGTTTACAATCCATCAGTTTGGCAGAGGAAAAAAGTTTGTTATTTATGCTCCAGTAGTTTTTTTCCATTGAAAGACTGAGATCTTCTTGTGTCGAGCATTTTCCCTTTAAATCAGAAAACCTCAAATAAGGGTATTATTTTTGTAATGGTTTCAATTTGTTGGTCCACTGAAGTTAGGAAACAGCATACAAATTTTATCCAGCTGGCTATGACTGGTGTGGCAGGGTAAGGAGATTTTTTTTTAGGAGGTAAAGCAATTTTAAAAGATAAAGGTTACTGCCCTATTTTAAAGTCATTGAAAAGAGCAAATTCATCTCCTAGAGGGATTAGCTTTTTTGCCTTCACTTGATACTATTATATTGGTTTTACTTTCTTTTTTAAAATGTTCCTTGTGTACTTGTATTAGGATTTTGAATCACTGGAGAAAATATCTGTTTGTGTTTTCTTTTTCATGGATTAATAGGAATCAACAGATGCCATATGGAGCTGTATTATGATCTCAATTAAGAAGAAAGTAGAGTGGCAGGAGGGTATAGGTCAGTGCTAGAGTACGTGCTTGTCATGCACGAGGTCCTGGGTTCAATCCCCAGTACCTCCAGGTTTAAACAAATAAATAAAATTACCCCACCCCAAAAAAGAAGAGGGTAGAATTTTAGTAGTATAGGAGATATACTTTTTAAGCTGAATTATAAATTATTTTAAAAATGAGTACAATACAATACTATGATTTTAGCTAGTTTTTAACATACATTAAGTGTTTACATTGTATGGCGTAAGTCACAGTGGGTCAAAGATTGATCATTATATAATGCCATATGGAAAGGGTTGATTTCCACCAAGTCTTTGAAGGCTGTGTAACCCTCATATAATTTAATTAATGCCATAAAGCATTTAAAGATTCAAATTTAAAGATTAGCTCAAGAAGGAAGAGCAAGAAGAAAGAGCCATACTACAACATTAATATTTCTGTACTCAGGGGCTTAAAACCTAAGAAGGAAAGGCTAGAAACCCACAAAAGGGAAATTTGTCCATCAATTTCATATGGACATATGTCCCAGTGTCTCTTAACTTCATGCGGATTTTCTGTTTTACAGAAACCCTTGGCGTATTCCAAAAAAAAAGGGTTTGTTGACGTCCCAGTAATCTGGTTTGATGACATTGTATACTCTACCTGTAGATTTCTCTGAATGCACCTTCTCATTCCTAAGCCAAGCCTGGCTGGAGTCACAGGACTGCCTTTATTTAATGTTTATCCAACCTCCCACAAATGCAGATTTGTGGGACATTTGGACCAAGACATTTGGACCAACATTCGAATTAAGACTATTTTAAATGCTGACTATTTATCTTGGCAAGCATATGGAATCCAAGTCTCCATTGTAATAGCTTTTTCACATTTCTTCAGAGCTTACTGTGTGCCCTAGAAAAGGACCACTCAGCACCAATGCAATGCTGATGCATTTTTGTCTTCTTGTACCAAACACCTGCCTGGCACATAGGAGGGGCTGACAACATTTTGAAGAATGAATAATGAATGCATGCATGCATGCATGAATGAGACAAACATTTAAGAACCATAGAGGGAATGAGAATTTTTAACACAGAAGGAGCTGTGAAGCAGGGAGGAAATGATCCAAAAGACCACAGGGACAGAGGTGGAAGCCTTCAGACTTGATTATATCTTATCATAAGTTCAAATAAGGACTGCATTGATCTTGAAATCCTGTTTTCAAAAATCAGAACCTAGGAAGAGTGACAAAATCTTGAGTTTGGAAAGAAGATCTAATATATATGTAGCAGCTAGCAATGACCCGTGAGCCTCAGGATCCGGGACTTTTATAACTGAATTGAAAGGAACTTACAAAATAAAATATGCTTTTTCACATTGAACTCATTAAGTAAGGAAAAAATAGCATCTTCTTTGTAGTACTTTCAAGCTCCCAAATCCTCCTAGTCTGTGTTACAGAAAAAAAAATTCAGTTAAGCATTTCAAACCTGACATTTGTAAACTCATCCTCATCACCTCTGTCAATGGATTGTCAAGTTCTCCTTCTGCACAACGATGCAGCTGTCATAGCAAAGTCAGTGGACTCCCCAGAGGGTGAGTGCACACTTGGGGGCAGGAGTGAGGATTTGGGGGAAATTGTCCCTCTACTGCCTACCCTGGGAATGAGGTTTTACTTTTGTTTTTTCTTTTTGTTTATCTTTTTTGTTTGTTTGATTAGAAGAGCTGATGGGAAACTGTATACCAGTAAAGGGAAACCTGTTCATTCCCTTGTAAGCATGCTATTGATAAGTAGCCAAGTGACTGGAGGGATTGCCCAGAGTTACTAAGAAGCATTCAGATCATTAACTCGAACTTGATTAAAGTTGAACGCTTTGTCCAGAGGAAACTGCTGCCGTTTTCTTTGCCTCTCAGAGTTTATGAAAACATTTCACAGGTCCTAACAGGTTCATTCTTATTGTTTATTCTCGTTTTTTGGAAGACAGTGATACCTTATTTTTTTTTGTTTATTTTGTTTTGTTTTGGGGGAAGTAATTAGATTGATTGATAGATTTATATTTATTTTATTTATTTATTTTTTAAGGAGGTACTGGGGATTGAACTCAGGACTCTGTGCATGCTGAGCACAGTCTCTACCACTGAGCTGTACCCTCCCCTAAAAGACAGTGATACGTTGATTTTTGTGTTGCTAAATACTCTTTTTAAAAAATACGTTGGCACTCATAGTTGATTTGTGAATGACCCTAAATAATTCCAAGCTTGGGCAAAGTGCACCTGACCATTCAAAGAAAGGCATATCCAGCTGCAAATAAGACAGTTTATCCTAAGAAAGGCATATCTAGCTACTTTTTGGCATAGGGACCTTTTCACATTGGCCTGACTATAAACATATTCTGCTGCCTGAATAAGGATAGGACCTTAGTGAAATCCCAATCCTTCTAAATAGACGCAGACAGACGCTTTAGAAAATCTGTCGGCAAAATCAATAAAATAAAACAAACTAGAAGAGAACAAAATAAAATAAAATGACAGGCGTGAAATAAACATAATTTGCTCATTTTTTTTTCCTGATTCGAACTGTTGTTATAAAAGAACTGCTGGAGATGAATGTGCTTTTTTGACCTGCAGCAGAGGAAACAACAAAAAGAGGACAGATTACTGAAATAGGAAGGAAGTAACATTTGATGCCAGGTCCTGGAGGCAGTGCACTTGTGGACCAAGCTTAATACTTGCAGTTTCATTGAGCTTCTGCAGACCTTATGCATACTTGCTATGGTAGTACATACATACACACTGGGCATATCATGTATGTTTCTCATAGATGTAGCATCTTAGAAGTTGCTCATGAAAATTCATAACACATTTCTCTTTTAGCTAGAGTACACGGTAAACCAAATAACTATTTTCTTTTCCATTTTGAACTGAATGCAAGTAAGCTGGCAGACAGCCCGATGTGACATGTTTCTGCAAAGGAAAGCATGGGTCACCCAGATTCCAGAGAGGAGTCTGAATACGGAGTTTTGATCAGAAAGAACTGTGATTAAGGACAACATCAGTTTTACCCTTGTGTTTACTTCTTGTATGCGTTCTCAAGCAATTTTGAAAAATAGAACGAGGGTAAAGGAGAATACTACCAGAATCTTTCAGTGCCTGTATTCTGGGAAAATATGCATTAATGTCTTTAGGATGCACTGGCATTCAGCTGAACTGTGAACAATGGCATGGTAACCTATCTCTCTCTCTCCCTCTCTCTGTCTCGACCAACAGTTTGTGGCTCACCCCAACTGCCAGCAGCAGCTCTTGACAATCTGGTACGAGAACCTCTCAGGCCTGCGGGAACAGACTGTAGCTATCAAGTGTCTGGTGGTGCTGGTCGTGGCCTTGGGCCTTCCCTTCCTTGCCATCGGCTACTGGATCGCACCTTGCAGCAGGGTACAGGCTTTTCCACCCCCATTTCCTCTGTGGTTGGCGTACCGTGTCCTTTGAGGATGAAAAGAGAAAAAGCTTCCTACTTAAGACCCTTTATCAGTTTTACTCTGAATGTTAATTGACTCAAGAACACGAATTCTGCTTTTTAATGACTGGGATCAATCCAAATAAGGGATGAAAAAGGATTTGGTCCTAGTGGGATAGATCATATTTGCAGGCATATCATACTTAAGCTTTTAAGATAAAATCCCCATGGTAGGCAGGAGGAAAAGCTGCTTAAGTGAAGTAGCACTTGTGCTGATTCCATTGCCAGCTTAATAGAGAGTCCGCAGGGCTGGCCTGTGGAAGGGGAGCAGCCCTACTGCAGTGGTTCCAAGAAAGAGTTAACCTGAGAATTGAAAAGGCAGCTCGGTAGAACCTGGAAGGAGATCCGAGGCTGAGAGTATTAAGCACAGTTGTGAACGGTGGTATTATCCAAATTCTTCAACAAAGCTCATGTCAGGTTCCCCTAGCCCTTTGTTCCTTAAGAAGATTCTAAAAATGTAGAATTGGGGTCTGGGGGCTTTGGATTTTAAAATTGTTTATCTGTTCAGTTTTGCTTGAATCATTTTGGTCACTACCTTTATCCTTCTCTCAACTTTGCCAGTATACAGTCAACTTAATTGTGTCTGAGCACAATGTGGAAAGAGCAGAACTCACGCTAACAGAATCTGGAGGAGGTTACTAAAGGGCACTGCCAGGGAGAAGACGCTGTTCTGAGATCCTTTAATCCTGTTTTCATATTCTGAAATCTGGTTTTGTTTAAATCAGAGACAGTTTCAGGCAAAGTGAGTCAAGGCCACTCAGAAATGACCCTGGAAATCTGCCATCTCTCTCGCGCAGCTGCCAGCCCCCGCAGAGTCCTGTTCCGCAGGCCCATATACGCGTGAGAATATTCATCCATCTCACTTCCTCGTTGAGCTGCCCATGCAGTTTAAGGCAGAAAGTTTGTCATTTTGATCAATTTTGATGACTCAACTAAGTTCCTTTGTTATATATCATGGAAAAGTACCCTAAGAGTCCACTAATACATAAACACTAAAAACTGGAAACTGTAAATAAGGAGAGAGCACACGTTAAAGCAAAAATCATATCCCACCCAAATAATTTCCCCTTTTGGGGGGAATACATTGGAAAATTTATGTTTATACATGTTTGTCTTTTAGGGCAGCTTTCTCAGGTAAAACATCAGGTTTGAAGTAGGCATCTTGAAGGCCATTCTTTTTCCTCTTCACTTTGTGTAGCTAATGGTGTGATGAACTCTGCCCTGCAGAGAAGGGAAAGGAGGGAATTGAGTCATTTTTTTTAACCTGCCATACACCACTCATCCTTGCTGAACAGACAACATAGCAAGAATTCTCCACCTGTATCCCAGTTTTAAGATAGGCATGCTGCTTTTTTTTTTTAATGTTATCTAACATTTTCAAAGATCAACCTTTAGGAGAAGAGACTTGCAACTCCCAAAAAATCACTATGTACTATGAATGAGCTGACCCAATGTGCCCTCTGTGCAGCTGTGGAACAGAACAGTGATATGTAAATGTGTGGTTTATTTTTCTGTGTCTAATATGGAAAATGTGACATTTGTCTGTGTGCATTCATGTCCAGTCCCAGAAATGCTGGACATTCTTTGGTTATTTGTTGACATCAAATTAAGCTTCTGGACATACAAAAACATTTGTTTGAAGTTACAGTCTCTTAAATGTGAACCTTGGTACTTTTTAAGGTCACAGACTAAGTTTGAAAGTAGGGTCTGAGTATGCAGAATAGAGAACTTGTTAAATCTGTTAAATATACTAATTCTTGGACTGCAGAAGCCCTTGCAACGGGAGGATTTGTTTTTCCTTTCTACTAGAACATAGGGCTTTTAAGGACCTTATATCATGTGGGATTTTAAAAGAGTTACCTTAAAATCATTATAAGCGGAACTTTAAAAATGCTTTTGTACTATTCATATGATTTTTCAGACCCAGGGATGACTTTTAATTAAATTAACCTATTTAGAGGTTTTAGTTATTGTGTATCTCTCTGTTGTTATTGGGTAGTAACAGATATTTATCTTGATTATAATATTTTCTGCCTTTTATATCATACAAAGTACAAATCGACTATGGAATATTTAGAAATGAGAAGAAAATTTTTCTTCTGTGGTAGTTAAGCTTTTTTTCATCTTCAAAGCGTTTGTAATGTGCTAGAAACACATCAAAACATTTCAATTATAAATGAATGAGGACGCAAGTCATCATAACATTTCAGCTACAAAGAATTACACATTACAAATTTGGAGTGTCTTTTCCTAGACTCTAAAAACCTTGACATTGCATAGTCTTTCATATAAAATAAGAATAACATTATATGCCTTGTGATTTCCAGAAATGCATCTGTGATTATGTATAGCCTAAGACAAACTAGATATTTAGAGACAATGAAGTTTGAAGACTTCTTAAATCGTTTTTTGGAGGATACAGCCCCTAAAAGGAGTAATTTTTCACAATGCATAACTCTTCAGAAATGGAAGCAGAATTTTGAAAAAGTATTCTCATTTCACCTTTTTTTTTAACCTGTATAGTGATTTTCATAAGCGGAAGCCAGATTTTCTGAAGTAAAAGTTTCCTTTTTTTGTTTGTTTTTGGCCTTATTTCAGCTGGGGAAAATTCTGCGAAGCCCTTTTATGAAGTTTGTGGCACATGCTGCTTCTTTCATCATCTTCCTGGGCCTGCTTGTGTTCAATGCCTCAGACAGATTCGAAGGCATCACCACGCTGCCAAATATCACTGTTATTGACTATCCCAAACAGATCTTCAGGGTCAAAACCACCCAGTTCACGTGGACTGAAATGTTAATTATGGTCTGGGTCCTTGGTAAGCCTTTTATTTTAAGTATTCTTATTTCTAACAAAAATAATATCTCTATAATGACTGCCATTTTCTGTTTAAAATGCTACTGTACATTATGTGGTGACAATATCACCATTATAAGATAAGCAGAATAGCAAAATAATTGAATCATTTGGCAGCTTGATAATGCTAAACAGTATCCCTTAACACTAGGTAAAATTTTTATGAGTAGCATGAGCCTAATTAGAAGTATACCACATTTCAGAAATCTAATTTCAAGTATTGAGTAAAATGCAGTCTTTTTAATGTGACTCACTGTGATGATCAAATATTTAATCGAAATACTTCTGAAATAACCCAGTGGCAATTAACTGATGATCAAAGAACATTTATTGCTTTAGTTTCAGAGGTTTTTTAAGGAGAGCTTCCATTTTCAAAATGTTTATTACCTCACCTCACGATAGCCCATTTTGAATAGCTATGTTAAGGTAAAAAGTTTAAGCAATGTGAGAAAAAAATGGAGATTGGAACCAGTTTATCTATTGATCATTAATCCAAAGTCATTTCATATCTTTTATCTATTTCACCCAGCGTGTTTCTTGGTATCTTCTCAGTTCCTGAATTAACAGATTGTTTCTCCTGCTCATTTACTCCTGTGGCCTCAACCTGGGCCAAGTAATTATTTTATGAATTTTATTTTAAGCCATTTACGTATCTTTAAAAAATTCTACAATATTTTTCCCTTACGTACTCAGGACAAGTTATTGAATTGGACTATTTTGTCCTCTTCCCCTAGAATGGCATTTTCTGCTTTCAGTTTCTTCATAATGTCCTAGGGCCTCCTGCTTAAGGGTTTCTTCTTTTTTCATTGATATTCCTCACCTTTTCAGCGTGAAGCTGAAATGAGGAGAGAGGGTAGAGGAATGAGGTAAGTGCTCCTGAGTGATTGGGAAACTGTTCTTGTTAAAAGTCTACAGTAAGTTTCTCAATTAGGGGCTTATTTCTCCAATATCACCACGATTTGATAATTAACCATTGTGATTTTATAAAGGTGAATTTTCTCTTCTCCTCCAAAAGTCTTTTGACATGAAGAGCCTTTCTTGTTTATTTCCTTCCCTCCTTCCTGCCCCATCCCCTATAAAAGTAGCATCGTTTCTGGTGTCACGTGTAGAACTATATTTCACCAAAATCTAACCTGGTGGAGCTGAAGCTGCTTCTTCCATTTAACTCTGCCCAGCACCTCCGTGAGCTGTAGTCAGCAGTGCTTTCGGGTACCTAGGGGCATGCTTTACATTTGGGGCATTTTATAGATGGGGACTGATGGTGCATGAAATAATAGCCTCTCAGCCTAAGCTGTAAAATCTCCTCTGGAACCTGTGTATCTTGTGACAGGAATGATGTGGTCCGAGTGTAAGGAGCTCTGGCTAGAAGGACCCAGGGAGTACATTTTGCAGTTGTGGAATGTGCTGGACTTCGGGATGCTCTCCATCTTCATCGCTGCTTTCACGGCCAGATTCCTGGCTTTCCTTCAGGCAACGAAAGCACAGCAGTATGTGGACAGTTATGTCCAAGAGAGCGACCTCAGTGAAGTTACACTTCCACCAGAGATACAGTATTTCACTTATGGTAAGTTGTCAGATGCATAATTTTCTTATGTCTCAGGAAGGGTATTGGAACTACATTTTGGAAGGAAATGCCAATAAAGAGAATGTTTAGGGGGGCATATATAGCTCAGTGGTATAGTGCGTGCTTAACACACACAAGGTCCTCGGTTCAATCCCCAGTACCTCCACTAAAAATAAATAAACTCAATTATCTACTCCCCCCCAAATAAACCCCACAAACAAACAAAAAATAAATAAATAAAAATAACACAAGGAAAGGACCATTTAAAAAACTATGCAAGTATGTTTAGTATGAGATATGTGTTGAATGTGTAGAAACAGTGGAGAAAGCATAAGCTTTAGAGCTCTATAAAACTGTATTCATATTAAGGCACTGCCTCTCCCTTGCTGTGTGACTTTGTTCAAATTAACTTACTTCTCTGTGCCTCAATTTTCATATCTATAAAAAGAAGGTTTTTGCAAGATGGGAGAAAATTACCTTTAAGCCTAACAGCATAATTGCTCATGTATTCTTAGGACATGAAATTGTCTTAATTAGGGGGGAAGATGGCTTGATAAACTGCTTAATGTGGAAGATAAGTCCCTGAGGGCCTGAGTTGGAGGAGATAAAATAATAAAAGATGCTGAGCTGCTATACCAGTGCAGTGAACAAAAATTCAGCAGAGGCAGGAAGTAGGAGCTAAAGTGACAGTGAGAATGTAAACTTTGCAGAATGGCCAGAAATGCTGGGGAGGATGTTTACTCCTCCTCAACATGACGTGGAATGGAGTTCATGCTGAACATCCCTAGATCATGAAAAGCAGGGAGACACCAGTGATGTCCAGTGTGCAGTGATACAGATACTTTCCTTGCTCGGCACAAACTGATGTTAAGCAATGTTAGCCACCCCTTGAGGCCAAATTAGGGAGCTGCAGTTAGCAAATTTTCATATAGTTGCAACATCTTTAAACCTGGAAAAGACTTTAGCACTTATTATCTAACCTTCATTTTAAAGGTAAGGAAACTCAGACATAGAGTTTAAATGTGTTATGATTGTGAAGAATAACTCTTTGTAAGTGTAATTAAGGCTTACATTGGGATAAGTACAAGCAGCATGTTAACGTTATTGAATAAGGTTGGGTGCCTGCTCTAAAATGAAGATGTACATTTATCTAAAATATGTATAGTTTACTGTACAGGAACCATACCACAAGAAAGGAGTTATAAACAAACAAACAAATAAATAGATAAAATAAAGATATGCACTTCATACATTGTGAAATTTACACACATTATCTCTTATTGTCAGCAAGCAAAGATTTTTATATACCAAGCAGGCCAGATCAAATGAGTAAATGATTACCATTTCTAATGAAGGAATTAGATTAGATTGTATTTTTGTGTAACACGCATCTTGACTGTTTCAATAGCTGTTTATTTAAATTTTCTCATGTGTGTCTAATGACTATCATCTGGAGGGAAATCTGTGAATTTGGCCTTCACTCCTTGTTATGATTTTGATCAACTTTCTAACCTTTCTAAGTCTTGATTTCTGCATCTCTGAAAAGAGAAGAATAACCTCGGGTCCATAGGGTCATTGAAAGCACAGTGTCTGATACATGTTCAACATTCAATAAATGTACATTTTTGTTATTGTTGTAAATGTCTACAATGCATCCGTCCTTCTGGGAGTGACCTAGTTTGCACAAAATTAACCATGTGGTGTTCCATTGATCTTCCAAGGAAGTGAGTATCCAATAGTCTACTGTGAACTGACCAAGTGACCTTGAAAGGATATTTTGGGGTCCTCATTTGGAATCTGTCTCCAAGAATTTTGTACCTCAGTAGCATTTTAAACCTTCCAGGAACCAGCTATATTGCTCAGACATTGCATTGACAGCACCACTGATTCAGTGACATTCTCACTTCTTGTAATATGGCAGTTTACTTGCATGAACTGTTAGATGGACAAGTTTCCCCACGAAATATGGAAAAGAAGTTTTGTGCTAAATGAGCCTGTAGGATGATAAAACACCTGGTCAATAAACTTGGTAACCGAGGGGACAAATGAGTCAAGTCAGTTGTTTTGTCATCCTGGACACAGTCTGTGTCTAATGAAGCATTTTAACCTCTTTTTCATCTTTTGTGCTTTATTCTGTTTCTGCTCAATGCAAAGTCAGCTTCACATCTTTATAATAGTGTTTCCTCCATTAAAAGAAACCGTATGAGTGTAGAATTCATGTTTCTGGTTTAACATGAAAAATAGTGACTGGACAGTTAATTAAATGTAGAGTAGTTTCAACTGAGATAATAACCACCTACCTACAAGATAGATCCTATTTAAGGGATTTGGCATAGTTAGCAATGAATAGAACGTTCCATTTTTGATCTCTCTCTCTTTTCTTGTAGCCAGAGATAAATGGCTCCCTTCTGACCCTCAGATCATATCTGAAGGCCTCTATGCCATAGCTGTCGTGCTCAGCTTTTCTCGCATCGCCTACATCCTCCCTGCAAATGAGAGTTTCGGCCCCTTACAGATCTCCCTTGGAAGGACTGTGAAGGACATATTCAAGTTCATGGTCCTCTTTATTATGGTGTTTCTTGCCTTTATGATCGGCATGTTCATACTGTATTCTTACTACCTTGGGGCTAAAGTAAATGCTGCATTTACCACGTAAGTAAAACATCTTACAAAAAAGATATGATAAAGGGAAATTCTAACAAGTTTAGGTGAAGCAAAAAAAATTATTCAATGATGGTAATAAAGATATCTTTAAGAGCAGAAAAAATCCATTAAAAGCAGTGCTTCAAATAACCAGTGTTGGTGAGGATGTGGAGAAAAGGGAACCCTCCTACACTGCTAGTGGGAATGTAAATTGGTATGGAGGTTTCTCAAAAAACTAAAGACAGAACTACCTTATGACCCAGCAATGCCACTCCTGGGTATATATATCTGAAAAAGACAAAAATAGTTCACAAAGATACATGCACCCCAATGTTCATAGCAGTACTGTTTACAATTGCCAAGATATGGAAGCAACCTAAGTGTCCATCAACAGATGAATGGATAAAGAAGATGTGGTATATGTATCCAATGGTTTACTACTCAGCTTTAAAAAAAAAATGTTGCCATTTGCAGCAACATGGATGGATCTAGACATTATCATACTAAGTGAAGTAATTCAGGCAGAGAAAGACAAATACTGTATATCACTTATATGTGAAATCTAAGAAATACAAGCAAACCAATGAGTATAGCAAAAAAGAAGCAGACTTACAGATATAGAGAACTAGGGTCACCAGAGTGGGAGGAAGTGGGGAGGAGAAAGATAGAGGTAGGGGAAGAGGTACCAACTACTATGTATAAAATAAATGAGCTACAAGGAGATATTATACAACACAGGGAATATGCCAGTATTTTAGAATAACTGTAAATGGAATATAACCTCATGTTGTACACCTGAAACTTACATAGTAGTGTACATCAACTATACCTCAAAAAAAAGTAAAGAAATGAAGAAAACCTTAAAAAAAAAGTTAGTGCTTGTCTGTGATTACACTGCTCCAGAGGTTCATCTTGTTGAGTTAAGTGAATGCTCGACCACATAATGGATCAAAATCTCATAAAATCCTAGACAAAACTGTCTATTTTAAGACAATTGGGTAACAAATTTGTAAGACTGGATGGCATTATGTGTGACATTAAATTTAGTTTCATCATTTTGTAGCCATTACTATTATTTCAAAAAAGAAGCATCGACTTTTGTTTTAATGTATCATCAGTCAGTACAGGGAATTGAGGAAGAAGAAGTTATAGCTAAATGTTGTCAGTCCACTATAACAGTAATACCACTTCCTTCCTTTGGTCATCCTGGTGTCTGCCTGGGGACTCACCTTCCCCATGAAGTCTTTCTTGATTAAACTTCCTTAGTCGTCGTCCCTTTGAGTTTTGTCAGCATGGATACATTCAGATGGAGACTCTCTCTCACCCATTGCTGTTTAGTGGTGGGGAGGCAGGCTGGTCTGTACTGTAGTCCCCCACCAGGTGAGGGGATCAGAAGGGCCCCTACCTCCCTCTGTACCATCTATACCCTGGAAAGCCACAGCTGGCAACAAACTAGACTGTCTATTAGTTCCGTATAGACTGAAATAGAATATCAAGCCCTGCCAGGCATCTAAATTGTCTTGAAATGAATTTTTTTCAAATAGTTAATACAGAGCAGATTGTAGAGGTGAAAGAGAACTGAGACTTACTTTATTGTAATGAAAAACAATTCTGTTTGAACCCAATGGGGAAGGCACTGAGAAACCCTGCACGCAGTAGCACCCCTTTGACCTCTGTGAGAACTCATTTTATACTCTATGTTGTCCTCGCTGCTTTGTATGAGGACATGGCAACGTGATGCAGGGGAAAGGAACAGGGGCTGGAAAGTCAGGCAGACCTGGATGTGAATGCAGTATCTGCCATTTTCCGGCTGTGGTCTTCAGTTAAGTTACTTAACATTTCTCAGCATTAGTTTCTTTGTTTTTAAAATAAGTGCAATGAAACAAAACAAAACAAAGATAAAATAAGCACAATAAGGTTTGGATCTGGTCCTTGTGAGAATTATGTAAGGTAATTTATATAAAGCCTGTTGCCCACAGTGGGAGCTCAGGAACAGCCAGTGTCCTCTCCTTTTTAACAATCCCAGTCTCCCCACACATACAGATTGCTCAGGAGTCTATATTCCCAAAGTCAGAGGCAGGAAGGTTTGCAAAAGAGCAAGAAGAAAGAGTGGGAGAATTTTGTGATACTGTTAAATGAATGGCAGGAGCAAAGAGGCTACAATTTTTCTTAGTCTTCTTTTAGCATCCATGCTATAGCCACACCATCAAATGTGTCGTAACAGAGAGGAGCTCCACAGGAACAGGAACAGCAATAGGAACCTTCCTAGTCAGTCCTCCATCCCCAGGGCTCTCCCAGTTTCTAGAACATGATAGGTACTCCATTAATATTTGTTGAATGAATAAATTAATAAAATAGTCTTAAAACCTATAAATCTATAGAATTATTATTTAGAATCTGTTATAACAAATCAATAAAAGTACTGTTTCATAAATTTTTCTTTGAGAAAAAGGGCTTACTTTTGAACCCTCCTTTGTAATGGAATTCTCCATGTGTAATTAACTTAAAGATTATTCTTATGGTTCACAGATCAGTGATTACCACTTGGTTGTATGACAAATACCAGCCAAATTCAGTTGATACAGTTCATTTAAGGGATAAAAGTAGCTAATTAGTCTGGTGAGGGCCTAAGTGCTAACTGGTGTTCCACCAGATGGAAGAATCAGGAAGTCGATTATATAAATTAAGGGAATAGAATAGGAACCTTTAATTCTGTTGACTTCAATTCCACTTAAGTATAACTTCTAGGTAAGTAAGTAACCTAAAAGTTACCTGTGGCATAAAATTCATGTAGAGTGGTATCTATAGTGAAAAGCCTGTCCCCTTGGTCACCCTGGGACCCCAGTCTCTTAGTTCTCCTTGGTTCCAGAGGCAATGGTTTCTTTGGGATACTTTCAGGGATATTTTTTGCATCAACAAGAATATAAGTCTTTGTGTACTCCTCTTTTTTATTCAAATTGTAGGCTATTTCACACTTGCTACATCTTATTTTTTTCCCCTTAATATATCTTGGATATTATTTTATATAAACAGATGAAACGAGATCTATCTCATTTTTCCCCCAGTAGCCGGCTGCAGAGCAATCCATTTATAGATGTAGCAGAATTATTTATTCACTCTTCTATTGATGGATATTTTGGTAGTTTTCATTCTTCCCTACTTCCATGCTGCAAGGAATATGTTTGTACCTACTTTTCTTGAAGTGAATGTATAATTTTAATCCCGACATGCTCTACTCCCAAAAACCTGATTTAAATTTCTGAAACACCTACAAAATCAAACCCCAAACTTCCACCCTTCTAGGAGAAAGAAATGGATATCGTGGCATGACTTCAGCTTTCCCCTGTCAAGTTCAGAGAATTTTCACTTGATGATAACTGACAGAAAAACTAGGCATCAGCACCCCTTAATCACTGGTTCCTAAAAACCTGAGAGAATAATTTCTATTAAATACTATAATTAAATAATTATATTTTGGGTATTATGATGATTTTTATGATGGCATTTTACATCTGTGCAGTATGCAGACCCTACCTTGCTTTTTACTTTTGACTTTTCAATACTGAAAACTGTTAATTTACTGTGAACTTTATTCTTTCAACAGTGTAGAAGAAAGTTTCAAGACTCTGTTTTGGTCAATATTTGGGTTGTCTGAAGTGACTTCCGTTGTGCTCAAATATGACCACAAATTCATAGAGAATATCGGATACGTTCTTTACGGAATATACAATGTAACTATGGTGGTCGTTTTACTCAACATGCTCATTGCTATGATTAATAGCTCATATCAAGAAATCGAGGTAAACCTGCTTTCTATCCATGGTGTCTGTCTTTGCTGTCTTGTTCTTTTATTTATTTTCTTTAAGTTAACATGTGCGATTTGGGGGGGTGGGGGTAATTTTATTTATTTATTTATTTATTATTTATTTATTTATTTATTTATTTATCTATTTATTTAATGGAGGTACTGGGGATTGAACCCAGGATCTCATGCATGCTAAGCAAGTACTCTACCACTGAGCTATACCTTACCCCCACTCCGTTCTTGTTCTAATAGCACACCTGCTTTTGTGCCCTGTGTGGAGCTCCAGCTCACGCAAACAAAGTCTCTTATACCCAAGCAGGACCTGGACCTTTCTCTGTGTTTTCCATCTGAATAGATAGTAATACACCTTCCAGTATCTTCTAGGAGCACAGCAGGAATCCCCAGAAATTTACCATCAGTCTGGATTCTCTCAGAGTATATTGCTGAAGTTTTGCAATTAGTGGCTAGAAGCAGCATTGGATGTAGGGAAATTATTCTCTCCTAGGTTAGCCAGCCAGCCTGGTAGAGGAATCACCAGATGTCTGGCAAACATCGATGATGTTCTTTATCCAGTGAGAATGTTTAGTATTCTAGAAATGGCACTGGGGAGGGTAGAGCTCGGTGGCAGAGTGCATGCTTAGCATGCATGAGGTCCTGGGTTCAATCCTCAGTGCCTCCATTAAAAAAACTATAAATAAATAGATTAAACAAACAAACAAACAAGCAAACCTAATTACCTCCTTCCCCCTGCCAAAAAAAAATTAAAGTCACTTTACTTTTTTCTTTAGATTGGACTTGGTATGGTACCTTTCTTCATCATCATATATAAGTTTTTTTTTTCCTTACATCCTCTGGTTTAGTGTTATTTTTAGTGCTTTGATGTTTGTTGAGTCCACTGAGTTTCTGTCTGTGTTTTAGAAACACGTAAGACTGTGTTCCCAAAGCAAAGTTAGGTCCCAGACAAGAAAATTGTACTCTCTCTGAACACCTGCTTGAGTGTGGTAATGGCAGCCTGGGTGGTGTGAAGTGACTGAGCCAACTTCTTCCACCTGTGGACAGGCTCCTCTTCATTTCTTCTCCATCCTTCCTGCCAGCTAGAATGGTTATGCCCAGCACCAGGGGGCAGCACTGAGGATAAAAGCAGATACTAGGCAGGAATAGGCCACTGAGAGCCTTATGTGACATGTGGCAGACACAGTAAGCAGCAAAGTGCAGCTCATCTGAATGCTGCTCTTTTTCGTTTGCCCTTGGAGTATAACGTACTGTATCCACAACCTGGCTCAGGTGGGTCTAGATGAGGAGGGAGGCTGGCTAGAACTATTGTTGAATATGCCACGTTAGAGGAGGGGGAAGGAAGGAGGGAGGAATTAATCTTTTCATCTTTCCTTGACCTGAATTTTTCTTGTGTTTTTGCTTCATTTTTGGACAGGTGACAGGAAATTCTGATTAAATTTGAGTGGGTATAGACAGAAGCATATGGAAAAGAAAATTTTTAAATGAGTTTCATAAAAGTGATACTGAGACTACTATGTAGGCCAATAGAGATTATATGCAGATAAATGTATATATGCTGCTTTTCTATTTCAAAAGCATAATTAAGGTTCATTGTAAGACCCTACTGGAATCCATTACTAGAATATTTAGTTTTAAAAATCAGTTGTTATATGTTTTTCTATTTTTGTGACACAGGATGACAGTGATGTAGAATGGAAGTTTGCTCGTTCAAAACTTTGGTTATCTTATTTTGATGATGGAAAGACATTACCTCCACCCTTCAGTCTAGTTCCCAGCCCAAAGTCATTTGTTTATTTCATCATGCGGATCATTAACTTTTCCAAATGCAGAAGGAGAAGGCTGCAGAAGGATATAGAAATGGGAATGGGTAACTCAAAGTCCAGGGTAGGTATCAAAAACTTATTGAGACCTGAAGATAAATGTTTTGTCTTTCTCCTTGTCTTTTGATGTTTGTTCAATAATTTTTATGTGTGAACTTAGAAGATGTTGAAAGTAACTGTCCATTCCATAGTCTTTCATAGACTAATACTTAATGTATTCATAGTGAAGTCACTTAGTCTATGCCTTGCTTTTGGTCAGAATCTCATGTAAACTACCAAATTAAAAACACACTAACAAGAAACTTCTCTAACTTGTTAAAAGTAAACAGAAAAGTTATTGTTAGAAAACACTTTGTTTTTTCTGTGTGTGTTCCATGCTTCTCAACTGTTATTCCAAAGTTAAATAGTCCTAACCTCACATTTTCCTCTTGGTTGTATGTGTAGTTCACTACCACTTTATTCTTCTCATTTGTAGAAACTCTTTACTGGGCTAAATAATCTGTTTTGCTCTAATATCATAACATTGATACAGGCTTCAGAGCATCCTCAAATATTAACTATAAATACCCCCTTTTGTAAATAACCCAGAATGGTTTGTTCTTGAGTTGTCCTGGTTGAGTCATGCCTAGATTTTAACAAAGATGAGTTTCAGGCTAGCACTTTATTATTATGAACTTAATTTTCAGAGATAGAATTGGCATAGGAGACAGAAGGATACAGACAGAACCTCAAATAATAGGGAGTGAGGCAGATAGGAGCAAATGTGTGGGTTAAAATATAATTTTTGCCTAAGGTTGTGAAAATGGTCTGTAGCTGTAATAGCCTGGGAGCCCACAAGATAGTGATTTTACCTCCATAAAGTGCATTTTTTTTCTCATTTGAAGCTTGGGGGAAAAAACTAAATTAATGCAATTTATTTTCTCACTTTTTAAAGGAGACGTGCATTTCCGAGATTTGTAATACCTTGGCACCTTTAAGAAGGTGGCCTTTTAAACCTTCTTTGACCTGGATGTGGACTCTTCAGGCTATTAGGTTGCAAGACAGTGACTGGCTGTGACATCCCATGATTTCAAATAATACTTCACTGTATACAGCAAGCAAGAAGCAGTAATGGAAGGAAGAGAGTTGCCATTAGACCTGCATTTAAATTCTGGCTTAAGGCTTAGTAGAAAGTGACATGGATAAATCACTTTATCCATGAAAGAGAGAAAACTTCGTAGGGTTCTTGTGAGGATGGTATGAGATGTGCAAAATTCCAGCCTCAACAAGTATCAGTGCCCTTCCTCATTCACAGTTTACAGAGTGCTTTGCTGTACATGTGAACCTCATGCAACACTGTGAGGTAGGTATTACTATTATTCCATTTCATAGATTAAGACATCTGAAGCTATTAAAAATAACTCACTTAGGCAAGGTCACAGGAGCTGGCCAGCATGGGGTAGGTGTGGAATTTGCCTTTTCCAGCATCAGATGCCCAGCTCTTCCTGCTGCACCTGGCTGCCTCCTGCTCAGGCAGTGCAGCTCTAGCTTGGTTGCTGCCCCACCTCCTCCCCACCGGCTGCGCTGTACCTTCAGTTTCATCTTCGTGGGTCTCTTAAAGAGGTTGGGCTCTAACTGCCAGCCCCGGCAACTCCTGCTGCTGCCGGGATGCACTTGGTTTTGAAGGTGCCTTGTTTCTCTGAGGATTGACTCATTCTCTAAGGCTTTATTATTTAAAGAGGAAGCTGTTCAAGCATGGGAATTCACTGCTTCTGCATTTCACACCTTAAAAGTTTTCTCTCTGGAGGCAACTGATTTCACTGACTTCTGACCTCATTCCTGATCTTGTCGTAGTGTAGGAGGGGAAACTCTATCCCGTTAAGAAGAGCACAGTAGACGCTAGGTAGATGCGGCTACCTAGACCCCTGTTTAAAAAAAGCTTGCCCACAAGGATGTGAGGGGAGCCGCCGATGTGCTCCGTTAGGGAGCCCTCTCCTGTCCCTGCCCGCCTCGTACCACTGGCAGGAAGAAGCGCTTTCCTCAGAGAGCTTGCCGAAAACAGAAGGAAGTTTGAGCACTGATCTTTCAGAAGCCCTGCTCCTTGGCTTCCATGTCTCCCCATCTCCGGTTAAAACCTGTCATTTTGATTTTATTTTTTAAATTGTGCACGGAGCTGTTATTATTGCTTTAATCTTATAGTCAAAGATATTCTCTGTGTACTGAATTTAGTAAAACTTTGGAGAAATTATGTTTCTGTTTTTCCTTTTTAGAAGTCAGGAAGGAGCCTCATGAAATCAAACGTATACAGCTAACCTCAGTCAACAGTCAGATGCTGACCTCCCGTGGCAAACAGGAGAACTGGCTTTGTCAGTCAAGATTGTCTCCTGCCATGATTAAGAGGACAAAATCAGGAGGATCATTGCCTAGCAGTGCCACTTCCTCCCTCCCTAGCATCCCTCCCCTTCCTTGTGGTGGGAAGGCAGGTAGTGGGGTGAATGCATGTTTTTGGATAAAGGGCCCTGCCTTAATCACACCTTCCAGGTAGCAGCTTACCTACAAATAAGAAGCAGGCCCTGCTCACAAACGGGAAGGGTAGACAGGAACGATGGTCTCTTGCTTTCTGTTCCTACTCACTCAAAAGTTAAACCTTAAAAAGAAAAAGAGAAAGAAAAAGAAAACCAGAATTCTCTAGCCCAGCTCTCTCCAGAGCAGTGAGCCTGTCAGAGTATAAGGCCGAGATGCTTAGGAATATGCGTCACTTTGGCTCATATTTTGGGGTTACAAAAAGCCAAATGCTACCATCGGAACTTGTAATGCGTTTCTGTTCAAGTGTAGGTGAGGAACACAGGCGCAGGAGTAGACAGAGTTGCTTCTGCACAACTTCTTCTAGGTGCTGTGAATACATTTTGATAAAGTATGCAAGGACCCCCAGGAGCAATTATGTTTAACCCGAGCCAACTTTTAAAAATGTGTTTTCAGTTAAACAGTTCTGTGACAGTTCATCTTGCCAACATTTTGATAAACATCAGCAGGTTGCCCACATTAACTTTTACCTTTGGAAATATACGAGGTCACTTGTAAAACTCAGCGTCCACGGAATGTTCCTTAGGAATGTTGACTCCACAAATGTTGTCGAGGCGAATAAAGTAGATTATAGTTATGCTTTCCATATAAATGTATTCTAATTTACTAGGTTAATTGTATTTTTTCCTAGTTAAACCTCTTCACTCAGTCTAACTCAAGAGTTTTTGAATCACACAGTTTTAACAGCATTCTCAATCAGCCAACACGTTATCAGGTAAGCATTCATTAGACATATCTCTTATCTGTGTGTAGTTCCACATATGTCTCTGTGTTTGTGTGTGTGTGTGTGAATAGTGAGTAGAATTATATTCTTCAGATGTGCTATGAGGACAGAATAGAACAGAGAAAATAGTATGTTAGGTGGAGGGCACTTTAGAAATCAGAGTCCAAGTTCTCGCTCGCTCTCTTTTTTTTTTTTTTTTTTTTGGTTGCGGAAGAAGAGTGCTTTGTGATATTGAAAGCAAAGTGTTGCCACAATTTCCAAAGAACACTTTCACATACCTTGAGCAGAAAGCACTGGGAGATTTGGTACATTAGGAAAATAGTGGTCTCACAGTGTAAAAAGCTGGTACATTTATTTCTCCAGTTAGTCTATTTTCCAAGTGAAATCCTAGGCTTTACTTTTGCATCAGTACTACTTTCAAATATCTGTTGCATTTTGATGTTGGATGTGACATTTCAACACTATTTTCCAACTCAAAAGAGGGTATAGTCCTTCCCATCTGGTTGTTCGTTTTGACTACCAAATCTTTAGATTTCTGACGTAGTACAGGATCACAAAAATGAGGATCGAGGAATTTATAATGTATGGTAATATCAATTGGCATAGTCCTCTTCATACAGTTTTCTTGGAAGCAGCACATTCTGCAAAATTGCTTAGCAATTGTCAAAGCCTTACTTTTTTAATGGTTACATTATATTCCATTATATGGTTGTATTTAATCTATCAGCCTTCTATTGATGGCAATAGAGGATATTGCCAATATTTAGCTATTACAAGTAATACTTCAGTAAGTAACCTTGTATACATGACATTTGAAATGTGCAAATCTATAGAATTGTCTGGTTAAAGTATATGTGCATTTTAATTTTTCAACTATCATCAAACTGATTTTGATGGAGCTTGTACCAATTTATAATCTTGCGATAAATGTACTAGAGTGCCCATTTCCTCCTTAATTTAGCACTAGTATGTTACCAAAGGTTTTTATCTTGGCCAAATTGTTAGGTGAAAATGATATCACAGTGTAGTTTTACTCTGCATTCTTTGTAATGAGTGAACTTGACCCTTTTTTATGTTTAGTGTTCTATATGCTTAATACCATATATATTTACTTTGCTTGATGGGCTCTTTGTTATAAATTAGGAGTAATTCTTTTAAGAATTAAAAACTGTTTTAAGAAAATCAGCCCTTTGCCTGTGGTGTGAATTGAGAATTTTTCCCCCAGTTTATTGCATATCTTCTTAATATTTATGGGTGTTTTCCCCCCACCTTTTAAAAGATTTTGTGTAGTAAACTTTACAAATTTTTATGACTTCAGATTTTGTGTTCTATTTTGAAAGCTCATCTCCCATACAAGGATATTTAAGAAAATTTTTACCCATATTTTTCTTGGTATTTTCATGGTTTCACTTTTTACATGATAATATTTGATCCATATAGAATATATTTTGATGCAACATGTGGATGGAGATCCAGTTTTTCTTCAGATAATTACACAGCTGGTTGTGCTGAAGAATGTATCTTTTCTACTGATTTGATACCACCTTTATTGTTACTAATTAATATGTCTACTTAGGTATATTTCTTGGCTCTAGATTTATTTCTCTGTGCTATATAACCAAATTCTTACAGTTTAAAACACAATCAAACAAAATACACAGACACACGTACATACATACGTCCTTTCTTCAAGATTCTTATTTTGCATAGTTTTCCTGGCTATTCTTCCTTTTTTATTTTTCTGTATTAACTTTAGCATCAGCCTGTCTAGTTTGCAAAATATTGTTGGTATTTTTTATTGTGATTGTGTTCACTTAAGTAGAGTTGACGTTTTTACAATGTTGTGTCTTCCTTTTCAAGAACATGATGTACCTTTCCATTTGTTCAGATCTTCATTTGTGTATTCAGTATCATTTTAAGGTAGTCCTCAGAGTGTGCATATTAGTTAGGATTAAGTTTGGTGCAAATCACTGAATACCAACCACCAAGTAGCTGGAAGAACATAGAAATATGTTCCTCTCTTTTTTTCAAGAATTCAGGAGGCAGTCATTCCATTGATGTGGTATCTCCCAGTGTTGGGGCCCCAGGCTGTTTCTATCGTACTGCTCTATCATGATTGCATTTCATTCTGACATGATCTCATGATCCAAGAAAGTTACTGGAGCTCTTCTGCTATTACTTCTGCATTACAAAATACAATCAGAAGGTGATAGGGAAGGAAGATGCCTCCTTCCTGTAAGGAACTTCTGTCAAGTTACACAAACGACTCATCTGCAATGGAGGCTGGGAAATCAGTCTTAATTCTTAGTGGCCATGTGCTGAGCTAAGAAGCCAGGGAAGAGAATTGGCAGGCTCTAGTGAAGTGGATTATATTATTTGTCTGGTGCTTTGCACATACTTATATCTATGTTATTTCATTTATAAGTTTCACGTTTTATCTTTTGACCCTCCATCTCTATAATATGAAAAAAATCAATGTGTTTATTTTATCTTTCACCATTTTCCCCCTTCTCTTACCAGGTTTTGCTAGTTAAATCATTAGAACTTAGAGTTGGGGACAAAGGACAAAACAAACAAACAAAAAAGACAAAAACCTTTCCTCTACCTATTAGGTTCAGTCCCTGAGGCCTGTGAATTAAACTGACAAAAGATAGATTAACAGGAGAAAAACAGTTTATTTACGCATGCAAAGTACAAACACCCGTGAGAGAGCTTGGTGATGAGTAACTCAAAGGGGTAGTTAGAATTTAGGACTTATATACCATTCTAAAAAGGGGGATTAATTTCTGGAGAAGTGACAAGACAAAGGAAAAGAGATTTGGGCTCTTAGGGGTGGTAAATTGTGGGAAGGTGAATATATGGGAGATTATTGTTACTGTAGAAATGTTTGTGCTCATGCAGACCCAACTCTGTGCCAACTTTCTGTGTCCAGTGATGATGGTAGTTTTCTTCCCCTTGGAAATGGGAGAGGGAAGAGGGAGGACCTTCACAAAGGGAAGTTTATGTCCTGCTTTTAGGCAGATGGGAGGAAGGCAGTGCGCTCTTTCCACGTTTTCTGCTTCTGAATTGACTTTAGGTCAAAATAACCCTATGTCCAAGTGATGTATTTTGGGGTGGCGTTTTCTGATCCCCTTCACTACCTTGTCAGGATTATAACCCACATTTGTTTGGTTTCAATCCCACAGTTAAACAGAGTCAGTACTCACCACCAGTCTTTTTGACATAAGTTTCCATTAATCTCTTTGTCAACTAAAGTTGGTCTTCCTTTAGTTCCTTCAAAAAGAGTTTCTGGGAACCATGTTATCTGAGTTATGTAATGCTCTACATTGCTTTCTATTTTCTCTATATCTGTGTGGACTAGCTGTAAAATTCTTACATGTGACTTTATTTTCTTTATGTATTGGTAAACATTACTCCACTGTTCCTACGATGGAACATTGAAAAGTTTGAGGCCAGCCTGATTGGTTTTCTTACATAGTTGACCCGAGATTTTGAATTGAATGCTCAAATTTTCTTTATCTTTTAAATCCAGTAACTTGCTACTAATTGTTCTACTTGTAGGTAAGTCTGTATGAATTTTTCCTGGCACAGAGTATAGCCTTTCAATCTGTCAAGTCTTCTTTTATTTCTGAATAATTTCCTTGAACTGTATCTTGAAATATTTTTTTGTGTTCCATTCTACTGAGTCTCTTCCTCCAAGATACCAATTAGATGCCAACTGAATCTTCTTTGCCTGTCTTCCACAGCTACCATTTTTTCTCTATGCCCTTTGAATTTTTCATCCATTTCTCCCTTTTGGCTCCTTTTTTCTTGTCCTATATTTTATTCCTGTCTATCTTCACATGTGCTGCTTCAAAAATATTTTTCATTTCTGTGGTGATTTTGTGTTTTTTCTTCCTCCTCTTAGTGAGGTTTTCCAACTTATGTATCACTTCCTTCTTTGGCTCACTGTATTTCCCCTGACCTCTTTGTGCTCTTATTTTAAAGACATGACTACCTCATCATATTTTTGAATTATGATTCGATAGATTATGTTTCAATAGTGGCATTATGTCTTTTGATCTTTAACATTTTTCTGGTGAGTGTTTATTATTTGCTGTTTGTTTTATCCATCTTTCTTGGACTAGCTTAGTATAGATTTCTATAGATTCGTTACTGACTATTAACTCGGTTTTGAATGAAGTAAGTTTTCCTTGGACCCAGCTACTTTTAGGAGGTTGGAGAGGGGTCAGAGAATTCCAGGGCCACATTCCAGGCTGAGGAATTTGCCTTTGGGCCCAGGGTGCTGCCTGTGGGTTCAGTTTATTCTTTATTTCCCTTGTCAACCATAGCACTGTGGTACTTTGCACAAGGCAGACTCTCTCTCTCCACCTCACTGACAAAGCGCTTCTGGCAAATAGGGCTTCTCTTTATCATTTCTCCTTCAGCTCTGGATTCTAAGCTTCCGTAGACTTTGTATCAAAAGGTCAAGGGATGTTCTCAGCCATGAATGTCTGCTTTTGGCTTTTCCCCACACCTTCATTTGACCTTTTCATCTAACCTTTCTAAAAAAGAATATGGATTCCTCTAAGTCTCATTAAAGAAGGAGTTAGTGTTTCTGTTTCCTAGTCTCCTTGATGCTTTTAAGTGATTTAGAAGAAGTGGAGGAACTTCTAAGTTTACTGTTAAATTGAAAATTCCTATATTTCCACACGAGTGATCCTTGCTAAATGCCCAGAGACTCCAGAATCCTGTACATTTCATATTTTCTAAGCAGAATTCCCTATGCCTGTGGTATAATCTTCTGTGGCTCCCCAAAAGTGAGAGTAGAAAAAGAGAACCTGAGGCTGAAAGTCTCAATCAGCTATGTACACATCAATCAAACTTCATATAAATGCCTTGATTGTATTTAAATAAAATCTCTTTGTTATGAACTCCATGGGTGATAATAATTGGTTTATTTGTTATGGATTTTTGTTTCATGAAGTGTGATTATAATATACGACTTACCT